TTCATGAAGGCGACGTGTGGGGAGGCTTGGGTGTTTGAGAGAAGGCTGTTCTGGCGGTGAGATCTGGGTGGCAAGGAGAGGTGGCGGTGGTGCGAGGTTTGCAGGTGGAGCGGCGTGTCATCTACCACGTGAAGATGACTAGTATTGGCGGCATGTGTCGGCTGGACCTCAACGACAGAAGTGTCTCGATAGATGAGCGCAGGGTGGTGGCGTTGCTTGGTGCCGTGGCGGTTTCGACGGCAGGAGTGGCAAGGACGATGCGTCAATACCTGCTCTTAAGATAGACCGGTGGAAGATGGTGGTGACGACCCATGCATGAGAGTGCGTCAGACCCGTTTGTGCCCACACCTAGTATGTGGCATGGTTAGGGCCTCCGATTTTAGATGTTAGGCTTTGGTGAGAGGTCTGGGTATTTGGCTCAGGCTTACTGCATCCCTTAAGGTACTGTTAACTTGTAAAAAAACTTTCATGTAGGTCTAAAATCATCTTGCTGTTATCATTTACCACAGAAATGAAACCTGTGACACAAACCTAGCAAATACACGATGGATTCACATCATACACATTTCCTCGTGTCATGCATATATTACCGAAAAAGGCTTTCGCCCCGCTATATATATAAAGCAAAGATCCACAACAAACCTAGTACAACTGCACGCCAACACAACCCACACACCCAAGGCATGATACAAAGATGTTGAACGCAGCAACACCACCCCTAGCACTACAAGAGTAACCGGAGATCTAAGCCGTGAACATGCCACCGCGAAGAAGTGAAGCCGCATATGACGAACCGAGGGCTCCAAGGCGGCGCCTTCAGGAAGGGAACGACACCGGAGCGCCGCCACCGCCCGACACGAAGGTCAGGGTTTCCCCTAGAGCAACCCGACGGGCAATGAAGGCCGCGACGACGCCTTCAAGAAGGTAACGATTCGCCGCCGCCGGTCCGTCCGAAGATAGAGCAGGTTTTCACCCCGGCCAACAATCACCACCACCGAACGCCACACCCCGGCATCCATGCCGCCCACACGGCCATGGTCACCAGGCAGCACCAAGCCACGAGCTCTGCCCATGAGCACCGCACTACCACCTCCAGGGCCGCCGCCCTGGCATCCAAGACCTTGACACCACCTCACCCGAGACCGGCACACTACTCCACCCAAAGAGACGAATGGAAAGGTCCCGGCTTTCGCATCCCTGGGCGACCCCCAGCACCGAGACCCAAGAGGCCGGCCGAAATGTGCCTCCATCTCCTTGTCCTGCTGCACCGGGCACGAGACGGGCTCAGTCCTGCAGCCGGGCGCGAGACGAGGTCGGTCCTGCTGTCGGGCGCGAGACGAGCTCGGTCCTGCTGCCGGGCGCGAGACGAGATCAGTTCCGCAGCACCGGGCGCGAGACGGGAGATGGACCATAGCTGGGAGAGGGCCAGCCTTTCGACGAAGGTAGCGTCCGAACGACGAGGAGAGGAATCGAAGGCCAAAACAGGCCGCTTCCCGACAAGCCGATGCCGGATGTACGGCCGCTGCCGGGAAACAACCCAAACCACCGCCATGAGCCACCACCACGCCGTGGCCATGTAGCGACCCGACCGGCCGCTGCCAGCACGCCGGGCCCCCCGCCGGCGAGCAGGGCCAGATCCGGACGAATCTGACCATGCCGCAACAAGCACCCACCAGCCACGCCCTCAAGATCCACCTAGCCAACGAGTAGAGGAGGAAGAAGGAGGGCGCCCACCTCTGTCGCGTCGCAACCCCATGCTGCTCACAGCTCCCAGTGCCAGATCGGGGCACAGGAGCAGCAAGCACGCCTCTCCAGCCAGCAGCTCGACGCGCTGCGGAAGCCACCAGTCGTCATCGACGGGATGGCACCCGCCGCGCCGCCGCAACCCACCAACCGCGGTGCCCTGGCCCGTGGAAGCGGCCCGCACCGGCGCCACACGCAAGGGGGCGAGAAGGCCCGCCGCCGCCGCCGCCGTCCAGGCTTTGCCTGGTCGCGCCCTGTGGCGGCGGCGGGGGAGGAAGGGGGCGGGAGGAGGGGAGGAGACCGGCGGCGGCTAGGGTTCTCTCCCCGTCGCCTGCGGGGGCGACATGGGAGGGGTGGGTCGGGGAGGGGTCCCGAACCACTGCAGGGGTCTGTCATGCATATATTCATCAAAAAGCCCCAAGGTGGCGGCGGGGATTTCGTCGATATGGTCTCGGCAAAGGGAGTGGGGCTCCAGGGTGGCGGCCTTGCTTGGAGAGGCTACGCCGTCTTTGCGGCTAGCGGTGCTCATGGTAGAGGGCCGGTGTCCTCGGCGGCGACGGCAGGCGCGGTTCATGGCCGGCGGTTATCCTAGTGTCAGATCTGAAGTTTCCGGTCTGGTCCACTTCCCGCCGGATCTCGCGTCGATGATGTTGTCTCACCGGACTGATGGTGGCTGGGCATGGTGGTGTGAGTTGGGTTCGGGAGAAATCCTTTGGTGGCTTGGCCATCCACATCAGTGACACCGCCTGCGGGCGCTACTCCCCTCCTTGGAGGCACCGATGAGATCCCTTCTTTCCACCCCTCTTCTCCAACCCAAGGTTAATTCCTGTTATCCTTTGCGGATGCGGCGACAGCAGCGCTCGATGTCGTTACCTCCATGGGGGCGCCGTTTGGCTAGGAGAGGCTGGTG